AGCCGGGCGTCCGGGGGGTGGGGTGTGTGGCGGTGATGCATTGGACGCCCCACGAGTACAGTGGTGCGGGGGTGAGGTGTGTGGCGGTGATGCATTGGACACCCCACGAGTACGGTGGTGCGGGGGTGGAAGCCGAGCTAGACCCCTAAGTCCCACTTTTTCCGTTTGTTTCTCTCTGGCTGTAGACAGCGGCTGGACCTGATGCGTGAAATGTACGACAGGGCAGCAGAAGTGCCTTCTAGCGTCCTTGAGGACTGTGACAACGTGGTGACGGGTGGAGACCCCTTCTACGACCGCTTTCCCTGGTTCAGGCTGGTTGGCAGGTGAGCGCCTTGCTCCTCCTATTTCCAAACCCGTCGGTGTCCAAACACAGCCCCTGGCCTGGTGCGGCGTGGAGAGCGCGCCCAGCTCCCTGTGGCAGTGCTGGGGCAGGGGCTGCCCGTGTCCAGGAGTGCTGCTGTCTGCAGGGATTTTGCTCTGCCCTCTGCAGGGGCGCAGGAGTGTCTTTCTGGGGCCCACCCTGCTGCCAGGGATTTGCTCCCTTGCTACAAGAAGTTGGTGGTGAATTTCCCATCCCCTGCTTTGAAGCCGTGCCTAGTGACGGCCGTGCAGTCTGGGGGTGCAGCCGCCGTCCGTCCCATCCCGTCATGTGGGCGGGGGCTTGCGGGTGGGCTGGCTGTGGCCCCAGGATGGAAAGGGCGCAGGTTGAGAGCCCTGCTGTCAGGTTTCCACGTCCATGGCTGTGTGTCCGTGTGCACACACGCGGAGTGCTCACTGGCCTCTGTGTGCTGTGCTGTGCTGTGCTGTGCTGTGTGTGCCGTGTCTCCTCGTGTGCTCCCCACATGCCAGCTGAACGGGCACAGTGCGGTCAGCTAGCAGGGCCAAAGGGACCTGTCAGTGGGACGCTGCCAAACGCCACCAAGCTTGGAGCAGCCCAGGGCTGACCCTTGCCAGGTAACAGCAATGAATGGGCTCCCCTCGACGCCAGTGAGCACTGGGCTGAGCTACCTTCCTACGCTGTTGAAGATGGCCGCTCCCATCTTCCGCACCAGCCTGCCGTGCTCGCTAGCTGACGACACTGGGGGCTTCGTTGTAAGACTCTTGGACAGACAGGTCTTGCTTCCCACGCCCCTCCTGAACAGCAGCAGGCCTTGGTGTCTGCTCTGTCTCTCTCTTCTGTGTGGAATAGTTGGTGCTAACCTGTCTTCTGTCTTGTTGTACTAACCTTAGTTCAGATATCTCTGGCTGCAACAGCTCTCCTCTTTTCAACACATGCATGAGCGAGCGCATGGCTGATCTCACCCCCTCCCCCACCTTCTCGAACCCCGACTCCGACATCACCGAGCCTGCTGACGAGCAGCACGTGGGGAAGGAGGAGGAGGAGGAGGACCTGGAGGAAGACATCTTTCCGGAGTACCCGCTGTATGATGGCCGGGATCCATTTTACGACCGCTCCCCCCTGTTCAGTTTAGTAGGAAGGTTGGTGAGGTTTTAGGAGAGCATGCTGGGAAGGAACTAGCTCTTTCGCACGAGAGAACTGCATTCGGACACTGTCCCGTGTGGAGGGCACGCCTTCCCCTGGCCCTCAGGATGGGTTAGCTGCACAGTGGCCTTCGAGAGATGGCCAGCAGGGCGGGGTGCTGGCCAGCACCACAGTAAGGCCAGTGTCTGTCGGAAACTAAGAGGGGAGAGGGTCCTTTGGCCAGTTCATCTTTAAAACCTGAGCTTGAAGGCAGATCTCACAGATCTTGGGTAGCGGGATCCGGGGTCACGTGGCCGCTGGACTCACACAATCTTTTTACAGAGAAGATGTTCACGTGGCAGAGACTTGTGTGGAGATGGCCCAGAAATGAGCCAAAGCATCGCCCTGGCTTCAGTGCATTTGGGTCTCCGCTCTAATTCACTGCTGGAAACATTTCTGCTGCGATGTCTGCACAATGGGCGACCTCTCCTGCATGCGCTGTGCGGCAGCACCCTTGCAGGCCTGTGTCATGGGAATCCCATTCCTGTCTGACCCAGATCCTCACCAGCAAGAGGAGAACGTGGCATGGCCAAGAGAGCAGACCGTAGCTCGAGCATCAGTTCTGATCTTTAGGGGGGTTCCAGGCAGCCAGTGGCCCCAAGTGGTGTGTGAGGAAAAGGTGGGAGGTGCAGCAAATAGCACAGTACTGCAGGCAGGTTCACCAGGTAGCACCTGGGATTTCCCCAGATGACTGGGAAGAGCTAAAACCAAGGGCTGTGGGGGCAGGGGGGAAGATGACATTTCCTCTCCCTGCCTTTGGCTAGCACAGGGATGGCAATTGTTTTCTGCAGAGATTTGCAGTAGGGCCATGCAGAAGGATGTTGTGTGGGAAGCAGAGATGCCAGACTTTAGTTCTCAGGTGGCTGGAAGAAAAGTTTTGGAGTGGGGAGAGCTTCTGTTGCCTGCAGGGCTGGGGGCAGGCTCTTCCCAAAGAGAAAGAGAATTGGTTTTTCTTTTGCTAGTGAAAGCAGAGCGGTACAGTGGCTTGTTCTGGAAAGGAACCCTAAATCTCGTGGAATCGGTGGCCTGTTTGATCCAATTGGCCACTATTTCATTCTGCCAGAGAAAACCACCTGGAATTGCCAAGCCTGGCACCGCAGCCCAATGCTGCGTCACGCTTTGCCTAGGGGAAGAGAGGGTTCACCCATAGTTGTCCTGGGGACTCCTGTCCTTTAAGGCTTTGGATCAAATTCAGACTTGGGCAAGCAGCTGCAGCTTCACTGTAGTCAGTGGCCTTGATTCCACTTGCAATTTGGCTTGTCAGCTGGGCACAAGTGGGAGAAAGCAAGCAGCCTGGGCGAGAAGGTGAATTCTTCTCTCCAGCCGATAGGACAAGGGACTTGGAAAAGAGCGAGGGAGACGGGAGAAGAGTCACTGCAGTCTCAGACCGAAAGAGCTGGGTTCTTCCACTTTTTTTTTCCTCTTGGGGGAATCAGAGATTTTAAAACCAAACAAACAAAACTTCCATATATGCCTATGATGAAACGAACCCCCGTCTGCGGGATGTTCCTTTTGAATCTTCCCAATTCTTTTGAGTCGGACACAGAATTGACTTTCCTGTGCAGCAGCTGTGCTGATCACATTTCTCATGAAGTGTGCTTGAATTGGTTCCTGATTGGATCCTTGTCTTTGATTAGTTTCCCCCCCTATTTTCTTTATTCGTTTTTTCCTTCCTTCTTTTTAAGCTGCTGGCTACCTCTCCAAAGCTTGAGCAAAAATTGGGGGTTGTTTCACTTTTGTCTTCCTTTTGAAAGGCTTTTCTTTGGTCTGAGCATGCCATCTTTGCACCTCACCAATCTTGTGGTTAGTGTCTCCTCCCACCTTCCGTTCCCTTTAGCCGCATACTCCCTGCCCCTTCTTTCCCCATTCCTCCCTATTCAACCCTTTTGGTTTCAGTCTGCTTCAAGAGGAGCTCGCCCGGAATTTCATACTGTTCGAGGGAAGCTTAACAGGCTTGTGATCCACGCTCCTCCCCACGGGAGATGTGGGATGCTCAGAGTAGATCTGTAAACAGACACCCAAGGAAAGCCACCTCCAGCACAGGGGTCCCGAGCATTTCAGGGGGTGCCTGGCTCAATTCCCACCCTGCCCCGAGCCTGGCTCCTGCCCCTGCAGCTCCCTCGTAGGAGGGCATTGGTTGAGAACAGAAGATGCACTGCATCTCCCAGGAAGGGCTCAGCACCTTGTCGGGTTGGGGTGTCAGGCTGCTGCCTGCCTCCTGCTTTACTGACCCAATCCAGTGCCGCTGAAGCCAGTGGAAAGATTCCCATTGACTCCAGCTGGCTCAGCCCCACGAAGTCCCCTGCACCTGTTGCTGTCAATGGGCTAGTCACCGATGCTTGGTGGCATGTCTGAAGAGGCACGCTAGCTCTGCGGATCCACTGTTAATGCAGTGCCTTGCTTTCCTCACACTGCTGCCATGGAGGCTGACCCTGCCCTGTCAGACGTGGGTTTGGGACAGCTCCCTCTCAGTCTCTTCTCCAGCCTGGAGCCCAGCCACAAGCAGCAGGGCAAGCTGGGCGGGCGGGAGGGGTGTCGCACCGGTGGTCCCAGGTTTAGTGCTGCTGATGGAGCATGCTGCCCACACACAGGGCCACAGTGGCCTGAGGTACCTGCAGAGCTCCACTGGCTGAAAGGCACCTGCTCTCATCCCCGTGCAGCCGGCTCCTGAGGAATCAGTGGTGACATGGCTAGGGAAGCGGGAAGCATTTTGCGGCGCTGACCCCGGACCTCGCCCACTGTTTGTGAGCAACTGCCCTTTGACCGTCAAGGGCAGGTGCAGTCCTGAGAGGCTGGTGGGCAGGTTGCTGCTCCTGAAGAGAGGCCCTGGCCAGCAAGGGCCTCTCCCTGCTGGGCTCAGGCAGCAGACTGCAGCGTGGGACTCACCCGGGGATACAAGGCTTCCTGCGACGTGATCTCTGTGCAGGGGAAGGACGAGATGACTTCTCCTGGTCCCCTCCAGCCCCGCATTTCTGTGATTCTAGGAAGGCCACAGAGAAGCTTCCAGCTCTTCAGCACGTGGTGGCCCAGGGCCTGGGGAGCACAGACCTGCCTTCTAGCTTGGTTTCCAAATCCCTTTCAAGGCCATGTGAAAGTGTCCCTTCCACGGTGAAGGAGTGGTGCACCTCGCTTGGGCTGGTCTCAGGTGGAATCATTACTCCTCAGTCAAGAAGAGATGGCAAATTGGTAAGAGCCTTCTGATGAGCTGGCTAAAAGGAAGTGTGATGTCTGCCAGCTCCCTGCTGTTAAACATGACATTTAAATGGGCAAGTTTTTAATGTTGAAAATCTTGGGCTATATATATCCCCCGTCTGCTGCCCAGTGTGCCCTGTCCCAGGCAAAACTGGTCCCCCAGAACTAAGATCACAGACAGTGCAGTACAACCCCGGCACCACTCCAATGTCCCCTCTTGTCCTGGGTGTTTGGGGACTGGATTGCAGTTGCCTACAGGACATGAGTACCACCAAGGAGACAGCACAAACTGCACATTTGTGTACTTTGATTGAAGGGCCAGAGAGCAGGGATGTGCTTTTTGGTCAGCACCACACCTGGTGAAAATGTCCAGGATGAATGTTCTCATCGGAACACAGTTCCTAGGATGGGTGTCCTGATTTTACCCAGGGGTTAAAGCAGCAGACGGGGTGTACTCCATTCCTCCACTCATCTGGCCCTCCTTGGTGCCCTGGAGAAAGTAACCGTTTGTGACTCCCCATCACCAGATTGGCAGGGGAGGCAGATGTGGGTGGCAACCTGGACAGCAGTGACCATGAGATGGTCGATTTCAGGATCCTGACCAAAGGAAGAAAGGGGAGCAGCAGAATACAGACTCTGGACTTCAGAAGAGCAGACTGACTCCCCCAGGGAACTGATGGGCAGGGTCCCTTGGGACGCTAACATGAGGTGGAAAGGAGTCCAGGAGAGCAGGCTGCATTTTAGAGAAGCCTTATTGAAGGTGCAGGAATGAACCATCCTGATGCACAGTAAGAAACACAAATATGGCAGGTGACCAGATTGGCTTAACAGTGAAATCTCTGACGAGCTTAAACACAAAAAGGAAGCTGACAAGTAGAAACCTGGACCAATGACCAGGGAGGAGTGTAAATACATTGCTCGAGCATGCAGGGCTGGAATTCCAGCTAAGCAAGGGGTGTGAAGGGTAACGAGAGGTTTCTAAGCAATAAGAGGGTGATCAGAGAGGGGGTGGGGCCCTTACCAAATGGGGGAGTAACCTAGTGACAGACGATGTGGGGAAAGCTGAAGTTCTCAGTGCCTTTTCTGGCTCTGTCTTCACAGACAAGGTCAGCTCCCAGACTGCTGCACTAGGCACAATATGGGCAGCCTTCCATGGAGAAAGAACAGCTTAAGAACTATTTAGAAAAGTTGGACATACACAAATCCATGGGGCTGGATCTAAGGCACCTGAGGGTGCTGAGGGAGTTGTCTGGGAGCCTTTGGCCATTATCTCTGAAAACTTGTGGCCATCGGGGGAGGTCCCAGACAACTGGAAAAAGGCAAATGTAGTGCCCATCTTTAAAAAAGGGAAGAAGGACGATCCAGGGAACTACAGACCAGTCAGCCTTACCTCAGTCCCCGGAAAAATCATGGAGGGGATCCTCAAGGAATCCATTTTGAAGCACTTGGAAGAGGGGAAAGTGATCCGGAATAGTCAACATGGATTCACCAAGGGCAAGTCGTGCCTGACCAACCTGATTGCTTTCTAGGATGAGGTGACTGGCTTATGGACGAGGGGAAGTCGGTGGATGTGATAGACTTTGACTTTAGTAAAGCTTTTGACATGGTCTCCCACAGTATTCTTGCCAGCTAGTTAAGGAATTCTGGATTGGAGAAATGGACGGTAAGATGGATAGAAAGCTGGCTAGAAGGCCGGGCCCAGTGGGTCGTGATCAACGGCTCGATGTCAGGTTGGTGATCAGTTTCTAGCGGAGTGCCCCCAGGGTTGGTTCTTGGACCAGTTTTGTTCAATATCTTTATTAATGACCTGGCTGAGGGGATGGATTGCACCCTCAGCAAGTTTGCAGATGACACTAAGCTAGGGGGAGAGGTAGATACTCTGGGGAGTAGCGATAGAGTCCAGAGTGACCTGGACAGATTAGAGGATTGGGCCAAAATAAATCTGATGAGGTTCAACAAGGACAAGTGCAGAGTCCTGCACTTGGGACAGAAGAATCCCAAGCATTGGTACAGGCTGGGACCGACTGGCTAAGCAGCAGTTGAGCAGAAAAGGCCCTGGGGATTCCAGTGGATGAGAAGCTGGATAGGAGTCAACAGTCGCCCTTGTAGCCAAGAAGGCTAACGGCACATTCAGTTGCATTAGGAGGAGCATTGCCAGCAGATCCAGAGAAGTGATTATTCCCCTTTATTCGGCTCTGGGGAGACCACATCTGGAGCATTGTGTCCGGTTCTGGGCCCGCACTACAGAAAGGATGTGGCTGCGCTGGAGAGAGTCCAGAGGAGGGCAGCAAAACTGACTAGGGAGCTGGAGCACATGACTTAGGAGAGACTGAGGGATTTAGTCTCCAAAAGAGAAGAGTGGTGGGGATGGGGATTTGAGAGCAGCCTTCTGCTCCTGGAAGGGGTTTCCAAGGAGGCTGGAGAGAGGCTGTTCTCTGTGGTGACAGACGGCAGAATGAGGAGCAATGGGCTCAAGTTGCAGTGGGGGAGGGCTAGTTTGGCTATTAGGAAAAACCGTCTCCCTAGGCGAGTGGAGAAGCGCTGGGCTGGGTTCCCTAGGGCAGAGTGGAATCTCCATCCCTAAGGTTTTTACGTCCCCACTTGACAGAGCCCTGGCTGGGATGATTGAGTTGGGGTTGGTCCTGCTTTGGGCAGGGGCCGGACTCGATGCCTCTTGACGTCTCTTCCAGCCCTAAGATTCTGTTCTAGGGTCCCCAGTTTGGATGAGTAGGAACCAAAGGGCTCGGAGGAACTGGCCACTCTTGAAAATGTTCCGAGTCCCATCCAGAGGCAGCAGCAGTGAGGGATCCAAGTCAGTTGCCGTCCAGAGGGGCTGCCTCCCCCGGGTGAGCCCATGGGGGTCTCCAGGGCTGGGAATGTCCTTGTAGGATTGCAGATCTGCTCAGGGGCAGAGCACTCGTCTGGAAACCCTCTGGCCCCAAGCAAGCTCCAGCGTCGCTGTGCACGTGCATGCCGTCATGGTGCCGTGTGCCCCTCTAGCTGGGGTGAGCCCACCCCTGGCCTCAGCCCAGGGGACAGGGCGAGAAGGCACCCGTGACCCAGGCGTGGCTGTGCAGTGATTGGCTGCAGCCATTGACAGCACGGAGCCAGTGTTCACTAGCCATCCCTCCTCTGGCCTGAGCACCCAGAGTCACCCGGCATGGCTGCGCAGCGGGATGGCAGCTCCCCGGGCACAACGGAACCTGCTGCGAGGACTAAAGGAAGCCATGCTGGAGTAGTGTCTGGCGCGGCCTGGCCAAGGAGAGCGGCTCTCCCCACACTGTGCTCAGGGCTCTGCCTCCTGCTGGCCCGTTTAGAGCTGGCCTCAGCGTCGTCACTCCGCGTCCCCGTCCGCCCTGCTGCCCAGGCACTGTGCTCGCAGGCCCAGGTCCTAGCTGGGTCAGTGGCATAGCAGAGCTGCCCTGACTGACACCAGCTGTGCCCCTCGTCGAGCACTGCCCCCCGTGCGGGTCGTGGCGCTCGGGCAGTGCTGCTGCTCACCATGCAGGAGCCAAGGTGGATCAGCCCTGGGCGCTGGCTGGAGCATGGAGGTCTCCCCGCCTGGCCCTGGCAGAGCAGACACAGCCCTGGCTGGAGGCAGGTCTGTGCCTCTGGGAGCTGGGTTT